TAGGAATGCCAGGCATGATAACAATGTGCAAGCAGTTTTTATATTCAATAATGTCTATGTCCAATTGTGTTTCTGTTATGCGCTTCGGAGAGTAAGTTGAGATTTTTTTAACTTGCAATTTAGATACTTAAAGTAGTTCAATAATTTAAGGCAACGTTTAATGCTTGACGTACGAGCCAAGGGACGAGATTATGTTCTACGAAATTTTATAAAAATTGCTGAAGTGAACTTGGATATTATGCGTCTAAACGTCGATGAGTTCTGCAGTTTAATATATGACGACAACCTTAATGCGCGTGAAGAAGACTCTGTGTGGAAAGCTTGCCTTAATTGGATTAATTTTAATGTGACTGATCGTAAAAGATTTGTGGGTAGGTTATTGCATGGTATTCGCCTAGGGTTAGTAAGTTCAAAGGTACGTATTTTTACAATTTTCATTTGTTTTTTACTATTTAAATAATTTATATTATTTTAAAAGTACTTTATGGATAACATAAAGGATCATCCATATACAGTAGATAACGAAGAGGCCAAGCCGATTTTATTAGAAACTTGCAAGTTTATGTAATATATAATGCATATCTAAAATAAAATATGATTAAAAAATTTTCGCATTTTAAGCTCAAATTTGCATATTCCTTACCGTTTGCCAGTTAACAAGAGAGCCAAAACACCACACTTTGCTTTACCACGTCTACCACACGAAATCATGTTTGCCATCGGTGGTTGGAGCGGTGGTACTTCAAAAAGTGTTGTGGAAACTTATGATACTAGAGCAGATCGCTGGGTAAAAGTTAATGTTGATGATCCTGCTGGTCCTCGAGGTTATCATGGTACTGCTGTAATTGGTTTTAGAATTTACTGTATAGGTGGCTACGATGGTAACGAATATTTTAATACATGTCGTGTTTTCGATGCAGTCAAAAAGTCATGGCGAGAGGTAGGTGGAAACAAATTTAATGATATCTTTTATTTGTATCACATTGTTTAATATAAAAGATTGCACCTATGCATACTCGACGCTGTTATGCATCTGTATCTCTTTTGAACAATTATATATACGCCGTTGGTGGTTTCGACGGCAGTATTCGTTTGAACTGCGTAGAACGGTATAACCCACGTACCAATCAATGGACTTGGATAAGATCAGTTAATATACAACGTTCTGATGGAAGTGCCTGTACTCTTGATAACAAAGTTTACGTACTCGGTAAGTTTAGTAAAAAATTTTGATTTTCACATTATGCATAAAATATAAACATTTATTACATACTTTAAAAATATATTATATATTTCTTATAATTTATTAATTTGTAGGTGGTTTTAATGGTACCGAGTGCTTAGACTCTTGTGAGTGCTATGACCCGGCATTGAACGTTTGGACAGAGGTTGCTCGTATGAATCATCGACGTTCTGGTGTGGCATGCGTTGCATATAATGGTTATATTTATGCCGTTGGTGGTTTCAACGGCACAGCACGCCTCTCCACCGGTGAGCGTTATGATCCCAAATCTAATCAGTGGACTTTTATTAAGGAAATGACACATTCGCGTAGTAATTTCGCACTTGAAGTACTGGACGAAATGATTTTTGCTATTGGAGGTTTTAATGGTGTGTCTACTATATCTAGTACAGAATGTTATTGCCCAGAAAATGATGAATGGTTAGTTAAAAACAATAATTAATTATTTAAATTTGTTTTATAAATTTTATTTTGAATAGGATGGAGACAACCTTCATGAATATTATTCGTTCTGCATTATCGGCAAATACAATAGACGGGTTGCCAAATAAATTGGATTATATTCATAAGGATCGTAGTAATTTAATGGAGGAACGTCGTCAACGTATTTTGGTAACTGCAGGTCGTACACCTCGCACTTAAAGAAATATTCAAGAGCATCATTTTAAAAAAATATTTAAAAAAATTTTCAAAATTCCAGTAAAAAATTCAAAATATGAAAATTAAATTTTTCGTGGATTTTCCTGATGTTTACAAAATCAATATTTTACAGGCTGATTGATGGAAACGATTTCTTTCAATAATACAATTTATGTGATATATTTCGATAGTCATTCCCTCTACAAAAGCCTCGTATTTAACACGTTTTAATGATTTGAAAATAAGAGGATCAAATATATTTATATATGCGATATATAAAGAATAAGTATATATATTTTTAAGATTTAAACGCAAAAAAAAACACATTAAAAAAATTTTAAAAAGGAATGTTGGAAATATAAATAAAAGAAAATTAAAAACACATACTTATAGTTTTAATATATTTTCAAGATTAGAAGACCTGAAAACCATTTGTTTTATATGTTTTATTACAACACAATTTCTTGAATAATTCATTTTTGTTTACTTATCATGGATCTTTCTACCTGCTCCATAAATTTGGTTCAATGATTTCTTAATTTGTTCAAATATTCAAATATGATCTGGTCTTTTCTGCTTAATATATTTGATCTAACGATTTTTCAACTTCTTCAAACCGTTCAAATAATATAATTTCTTGGTTTTTCAAAAAAATCATCTATATTTTTGATTATTTGCGTTTTGGTAGTAAGTCTCCTCTTTCCCCAAAAAGTTCTTACCTTTTGAAATAGAGAATGGGAAATTCCGTTCGAAATTGACTGTTTTACGTCAATTCAACTATTTGTTTATCGGCAGTCTTCAGTGAGATACGGAAAACAAAAAAACGTCGTTAGATCATTCTCCATCTTCAACAAGACAATGCGAGTGCTCACACATCTCTTCTTACAACCGACTATTTAAGCACTCATAAAATCGAATTGATGGGTTATCCGTTGTACAGTGTTGATTTAGCACCCAATGACTTCTTGTTTCCGAATGTCAAGAATAAATTGCGTAGACAACGCTCATGATTTTTCTTGGCGGAAAAAGCCGTTGTTGCATCTAAAAACCATGTTTTGGAGTTTGGAGTCGAAAAAATGCATTGACAAATTATTAATCATAAAGAAGAATACTTCGAGAAACAAAGCAATTTTGAAGAAGTTAGTAATTTTTCATTATTAGGCTCAAAATATAAATAGTAACCCTCGTATTGTGGTACAGTAGTGTCAATTCAGGGTATACAATAAAATATGATGTGTAATTCTAATACTATGGTCTATAATGTATTTACAAAATTTAATTGACAGATTACAGATTAACATATTACTCTGATTTACAACATTTATACTTATTTTTATGAAGAGCTAGAAAATAAATGTCAGTTTAGTTAATATTGACCCATTAAAATTTTGTCACTTTAAACTTTTCTTGTTACTGGATTGTAGAATTAGTAACATATGTATATTTAAATAAGCAAGAAATAATAAATTTAAAAAGGATCAACCTAAATAACGCTGACCTATTAGACAATAGTCACTTCAAAATTATATTTGTTACTGAAATATGAAGTATATATGTATTTATTTAATCATAGTTTACAGTACTGTTAGTAGAACACGTGCTCTTTTATAGTCCTTCAAAAGAGATTTAACATTATTTTGGAAGCTTAATACAAAGACATTATTATACATTACTTTTATTTTAATAAAGAATATAACACATTTTAAAAATTCGAACTACAATAATATTGTAGATTTGTACTAAAAACATCAGTATTTCATTTAGCACAAAATTTTCGAACACTACATTGTGTTAGAGCGTTTGATGCTAAACGTATTTGTATAAAATAAAACATACGGCTACCTAAAGACATAAAATAAAATTTAGATATCATTCTAAACATGAATAAGTTAATGATTATTTTATTAAATAAAATACCAGGGTTCGTATTTGTTCACTCATGAGCAGCTCAGGCTTATGAGCAAGAGCCAATTCTTTTTTGAGCCCAAAATTGGCTCATGAGCGTGAGCCCATAATTGGCTCATATTGAAGAGCTGCTCACCAGCGTGAGCCTTCAAGTTGCTCACATTGAACTGCTGCTCATGAGATCTCACGAGCCGAGAGCTCACGAGCTCAAGTGTTTAATAAAAAGCGATTTATTAGTTTATTTGCTTTATTTATTTTTATAAACATTATATGTGAAAATATATAATTTGAAATTAACTTAGCTTATTATTATTTATATTAAAACAATATAATGAAACAATAATTTGAATTTGAAAAACAAATTTATAAAATATTATTATTTTCCACAAATAAACAATACAAATGTATTTATTGTTTATTTTAAGAACTTTGATTATTTCAATATTATAGTTAGTTAAAGGTTATTAATATTTTAAATCTAAAGTGTGAACTCTTTTGTTGGGCTCGCTCGTGAGCATGAGCCATCGTATGAAAAGAGTTTTTTGCCGGCTCATGAGCCGTGATTAGAATGAGCCGCTCATGGGTACGCAAATACGAACTCTGTAAAATACAAATGAAATGCTTTTTGTTGAGTAGTACAAGTAAAAGTCAACGAGCATGTGGAGTTGAGAGCTTCCAAAGTCAAGCGGGATTTTTTTCAGACAAACAAGTTGATGTCCCCTTTCGCAGCAAACAGGCGATCGCATAATATCGAATGATTCTGCTGTTAATGAAACCTACCACAGTGGTCGGATTTGAGAGGATGCGGGTGTTAACCAGGTCGAAGAACCGAGCAGTCCAGTACCTTATTCTTAGTTAACTTTAAAATTAATTTTAATGTTAACTCACAAATAAATAAATAATAAAACAAAAATATAGTGACGCATGGAACAAATGATCTGTCCAAATAATTCGAATATGTTCAGGTAGCTAGAGTATTTACAAATATTTAAAATATTAGATCTAAATGTTTGAATTAGTGTATAAAAAATTTATTTGTGTAACGTAATTCTCGAACTCTTTGAAGCACAAGCAAAACACCAATACTTTACATTTAACTAGAAAAAATATTTTGATACTAACAATTGAATTAAAAACTCGATTTTGTAAATTTGTATTTCAGTTACTTAAAATTTCTTAAACATTAAATTTATTGTACATTATTATACATTAACTAGGGATAAAAGGAATTTGCTATTAAAATACTGCACCTGTCTGCTTATAGAAATCGATTCATAATACTATTTATTTATTTCATCCGAAATATGCAGTATTTCAGCACCACTACGCGGAAACGTGGCGAAGACAACATCATTAAAATCATTGTGCTGATGCATCTCTAAAATGTGGGATGGCAACTGCAGATAGTATTTATTCTTTAATTCACGCATATATTTCTCGCATGCCTCCACAGAATCACATAACGCAACAATACAACCACCCCAACTGTGAAAAAGCCACATAAAGCAAATTGCTAAAGTAAATTGCAAAGTTGAAAAGTTGAAAATGCTTACCCTGCGCCAGTAAGTCGTGCACCAACATTCGCTGCATCGGATATGGCCACCAATTGATCTAAATCGGGATGTGAGCATTCATACAAGTCTTGTAAACTATGATGCGACTTACGCATCAATTCTGATAAGATTGCTAGTTTCTTTAGGTGCTGCATGCACGCACCATCATTTGTGACACAAACGTTAGTCAAGTTGCCATTGTTAAGATGCTGTGTACCATTAGCCTCATTTGTCTGCTCGCAAATAGCGCGGAACCTGGCAACTCGCAGTGATTCTGCATTAAAATATATAAATAAATAATATACGTTACTAAAACTGTTGAATGAGGTTGAATACTTACCTTGTATTACATGTAGTGCACGTTGTCTCAATTTGAACTTCGGCATATGCCGCGTATTGGGCGTTAGGAACTTGTTTACAAATTCATCAATAGAGATATCTAATTCCTCACAAATTTCTTCACGTGTATAAATATTTTTTGGTAAATACTTGTTAGTAATTGCTTCCAATTCAGTGAGTGTACAACTTAACATTTCTTGCAACTGTGCGAATCGTATTAAGTCGCTCCAATTACTGAAGTTCATATTCTTGGCAATTAGACGCGTACTAAGTCGGCACTCCACAACTCGCTCATTGAAATCGGATGAAGCAGCTTTATTGATTTCTGCCAAACTATTCGCTACCACAAAACATGCACCCTCTGGTAGGCAAATAGGTGTTGCATTTAGTTCGGGATGAAATTCGATAAATTGTGCACAACCTGCTTGAGCTAAATAAGCAATTGCTTGATCCATACCACCACCTTGTGTACCTATATAACGTTCACATTGGGCTGATATGGAAGCTAGTATTTTCCGTTCTAATGGTAAACGATGCACATGAGCGGTAGCCAAGGCTGCTGCACTGACTAGAGCACTTGAACTTGATAAGCCCGAAGCTGGTGGTATATTACCACTTAAAGCAATTTTCATACCAATGGGTTTTAGGGTTTCGTTGTTATTTTCATATATGCCTTTGACGCCACACAAATAATATTTAAACCATTCTGGACCACCCGCTTCAGGTAGTTCGATTCTATTATATAGAAAATTTATTTAAATATTTTTAAAAATCAATTAAAAATAAATTTACTTAATGGATTGCAAATCACATTTGTAGTTTGGAAATTTGGAACTTTGTAAATTTCTCAACTGTAAAAAACTATTTTCCTCTGTATATCCAACAGCCAATAAAATGCACTGATCTATAGCCATTGGTAGTACTGGATAGCCACAATAGTCCACATGCTCGCCTATGATATTAACACTGAAAATACAGGAAAAAAGTATTTTTAAAAATGTGTACATGAATAGTGAGATAATAGACTCGGAATTAATAAGTGTGGAGTGGAGTTGGGCAAAAATACTTCGGTGGTTTTGTGCTCAATTAATGTCGAAGTAGCTGTATCAGGCAAATATATGTGGGAGATATAAGATTAATTCCTTATTGGTGAACAAATAATAAAAACTGATTTGTCGTGTGTAAAGTTATCGGAATCAATGTAATATTGCATATCTTTTTATGGTCTTACATTTAACTCAATTATTATTATTAAAACTAATATAACATGATAATTCCATTTGTTTAATTTATAAAGTTAATTTTATAAATACTATACGACTTATCTTTTCTTTTTAGGTTTGAATGACTTGAAACTTATTTGAAGGACCTATCGACTGTCAATTTTCAATCGCATTAATAAGTTTGTGATAAAAATATAAAAGTGGCAGAAAAGTGCTATTCGCAGTACTTTATCTAGTATTATAAAGTAGACATATAAAAAAATGGAATGGTAAGTAGTATAATTTCAATAAAGAAATATCATTAGAGCAAAAAAAAAGTCTGTGTTTGGTAGAGATAAAAGTAAAAATTAATACAAATTTGATTTTGATAAGCCCTATCCTAACAGTAATTATTATATATAATATATTTTGTAAATAATATCTTTTAAAAAGTTGAGAATAGAATTGGTTGTGCACCAAAAATTTGTTAATATGTTGGAATTTCATTTTAAAGTAGCGTTAAATTACGAATGTTATAGTCTGCGTTGTTGAACACTCGATACAGTTTGTTTTTTCACATGTCAAGTATTAGAGACTATCTAAAAAACTTCTTAAAAAGTCAAATACTTTTCCATAGCGAAGATTGGAAATATTTATTGGTATTTCTTTTAAAATAGTTTTAAGTTACGAACATATTAGTCATCGCCAATTATTAATTTCATACGGCACACATCAATAATATTAATAATATCTATATAGATATACGGTTTATAGCAAATGATCTGACGTTACATAGAAGATATAAGGGAGAGCAAATATTTTTATATTAAAACTTAAAAATAAGGTAAAAATGATCGGATTTAACATAAAGTAATTTCAAACAAAGCACATATTTAGTAAGACTGTTTTCAGAAAAAAAGTCACCGAATATTGTAGTGGACTTATATAGTCGAAGTGTTATGAAGAAATGAAAGACATCCATTTCTTTATTGTCCATCTCTGTTTTGTGTAATATAGGATCGGTTTCGTTTGCCAGGGTTACATTACTTAAATTCTGTACATTCAAAATTTGCATCAGTTTTTATTTGTTTTTATTTGAATCCATTAATCCATTATATTTGCGTATCTAAAAACATAGATGTGGATTATTGTGAAATTAAAAGAGCTGTTATAGTGGATAGTGGATTTTAGCTTCGGAATCTGAGGATTACAATCGAATGGACAGATTAGGCAAAATATTTTTAAACATTTTCCTCAATAAGAACGTAGCACCATATATTGGCTTTGTCTTACCAATATGAAATTGTTAGTCTATCTTTTTTTAAGACTATATTAGGTTCTCGTTATTTCTTATATCTGCTGTGCGTTGCTTAACTTGGGAAGATTTTTTATTTCACTTCCAGCAAACATTTCTGGTAGGTGCTTTTAAATCGCCTAAGAAAAAGTAAAAGTAAATTCAGAATTATTATATAAGATTTTGATAAGTGAATGGGAAAATCTAGGATGTGTAGTATAGACATTGTGAACGAGTATAATTGTATTTGAAAGAAAAAGTCATTTCTTTAAAGCATATTTGTTTATTTAGAAGAAAAAAAAATATGATGGAAGATAATTTAACAATAGGTATACTTAAATATAAACTAATGTATCTTTCATTGTCTTTGATTTTGTTTGTAGGGTTTTATTTGACTTTATATAATGTACAAGTGCAGTGGTAAAAAATATATGAAAAATCCACTTCGAAATATGATTGGATAATATAATATTCTACAAATGGATTAGTATTGAAATTTAATAATTAAAAAAATATATAATTCAATTTATTCTACAACTGGTTTATAGTTTCGTTCTAATATAAAGACAGCAAGCGAATTTGTTAATAAAGCTTTCACAGCAATGTACCAAATCTCCAGAAAAATGTGCGAACATACAAGTGAAGTACGGCTTTGGGTCATTTGGCAAATGAACGTTGACTCTTAGCTTCAAATTTGGCAGGGCATGAATTAAATCTCTTGTACTTGCAGTTTTAAAAAATTATTTACGAATAATTAAATATAAGAATTACTTTCAAGACCACTGATGATGGGTATTTGGCAATATTTTAATACGCTATATGAAAAATTCAATCAATTCAAAAATTCAATTAATTTAAATATATAAAAAGAATTTTTGTTGTTGTAGTTCACTATTTTTCGAAATCTCTTTATAATATAATATAGTAATAATATTTACAAGAACTTTTTGAACTTGTGAACTAATAGGTGTACAAACTTAAAAAGACAAATGCAAGTCATCATTTAACATTAGAAAATTTAATTTAAAATTCAAAATATATAAAAACATAAAAACACTTTTTATAAGAACATAAAACGTCAAGTACGGCTTTGGATCAATTAGTAAAATTGCGCTGATTCTGAGCTTCACATGTGGCAGGACCCGAGTTCGAATCCTGGTACTTGCAGTCTCAAAAATAATTATTTACGAATAATTAAATACCAGAATTATTTCCAAGATCACTGATGATGGGTATTTGGCAATATTCGAAACAGCTGTATGGTCAGCCAAAAATTCAATTAATTAAAATAATATAAAAAATAAAATTTTTGTTGTTGTAGTTTACTACTGTTCGAAAAAACCTCTTCAAAATATATTTTAATTAATTAGAATCATAACAAGGTAACAGCATTAGTCCGATAAATTTCAGAAGTTCTAAACTAATGGAATTATGAAACTACTCGGAAAATGGGAAGAGCTCATATACAATAATGACCAATATTTGCTTAATAATTGATTTTTAATAAAGAAATTTTTGTTTAAAAATGCAACAAAAAACCTGGGCAATATTTTTTATCACCCATTATTTTTAAAGTATTTTTGTAGATCTTATTTATTTATCTTATTAAAATTTCTCATTCTTTACTTACCGTCCCGGCACACGAACAAAAAAGTTGGGTTTTGAACCAAATTCATTGCAATAAAATTCTTGTAGTGTCTGCAGTCTGTTGAACAACTCATGTTTTTCATCAAATACATTTATTGACACATAGGGGTCGCTTTGAACAGATTTTGACATTTTGTTTTGTTTTACGTTTTGCACTTTCGTTGAATATGCTTTCTATTGATTTGTAAACAAACTTTAATAGTATTATAAAAACAATATCAATGCAAAAAGAAAAGCAAGAACTATGCGTAACAAATTATACAAGAAACATTATAAAAAAATGAAAGTTTATTTATCAGCAATAAATTTATATAAAACGCACAATTGAAACCGGCTTTTTGCAGCAGTTGAAGCTTGCAGCATATTTTGGATCTATCACACTTTAATTACACATAAGTTTTTTTAATTTATTGTAGTTTTATTAATTTTTAATATAATTAATTATTTTTAATCACTTTGGCACAAGAATTTCTAAATGGAACCACCTTCCGACACCGACGCGTTCTAAACCAATTTCGCATTGGCGAATTTACACGGAATTGCAATAACAACAACAATGTGGGAAAAACATTGCAAAGCAGTAGAAAGCGTGAGCAGAAAAGTGACAGTTGGTCGAGAAGAAGAGAGCGGCATTGCGCCAGAAATAACTGCGACATCAGCTGATATTTAAAATTGAAATGCAAATAAAAAGTAAAAATTTAAATGTGTGTAAAAGTTGAACTTTACAAAACAGAATTGCAAAATTTAATTGAACGTTGATATTGTAATTGCAGAATGTCTTATTGTTAATATAATTTAATTTTTGTTATGCATAAAAAATGATTGCAAACCGCGTATATCGTGCAGTTAAGAACAACATGGCTGCCATTTTTTGATTTATCGAAAAATGTTGGAATTTATATTTCTGCTGAAGAATTAATAAATTAATTAATACAAAAATTTAAACTTAAGTTCAAATATTTGAGTTCAAGTGTAAATGCAAACATTATTAATCAGTAAAAAAATGTAAGCAGAGTTTTTAACAGCATTTTAAACAGAAACGGCTTTAGTAGAGAAATTACGGTAATATCAGTTTAGTTTTTAAAATTAAATAATAATGAATTAAAATTTAAATTTTTTAAATAATACATTTAATTATATATATATAATATATTTGCAATGTATTTTAGAAATTTAATTTTATTATATATACAAGAGCAAAAATAATAACTGCTAGACTTAAAGTTTGTTATTATTATCAGTACTTCAGACAGTAATAAAAATGAACATTGTTTTGCACAAATATAACGGCACTGTTAGGGCCATGTTATGTAGAGTGCCTCGGGCACGGCAAAATTGGCTCTTTCGGTCTATACCGAAAATGCGTGTTATGAAGAGTGTCACATCAGTATTGCCAATCGTTCTTTTACTACCATTTGGTATTTTTTGGTTGTGCCGAAATTTAAAAGGAAATGTAGATATGCTCACTTTCAATTTGTCACCAAAAATAGCCAGCAAGGAAAAACTTACAGAGGGTGTAATAATGTTAATTCAATATTATATTTTGTTATAATAATTGTTAAATTATTAGCGGTTTAAGAAATAGGATGTGTTGCTTACTGTCATTTTTTCTCCAAAACGTATTAAAATTGTTCATAAAATGCACAAATTCTGAACACTGCTTTGCCTTAGTGCCGAGGCACAAATACGCCGGCTCTTATGCCGGAATTTGAACCGTCGTGTTGTTTTTCTCTCAATCTCGATTTAAGAATGTGTATTGAAAACAACAACAATTTTAATCATGGCGTGACCAAGACACTTCTAATAATCTGGCCCTTAGGGTTATGTTATGATTAAAGTCACGTCACGACAATTCTTATTGCTTTCAATTTTTATTGCTTTTATTGCAAACTGAAAATTTGGCACTGAAAGCTCACTTTATTTCGCATTGAAAGCACCAACAAATTTTGATTTTGACGAGCTCATGACTTTCTGCATAACATGCCACTTAGAAAGATGTTATACATACAGTTAGAGCCATGTTATATAGACGTCATGGTTATGTCAAATGTCATCACGGTAACGAGATTTTGTTGATCCCGTGGTGCTCATTGATAAATGTCAGAATTAGCGCCTTTTAAAAGCAAAAGTGTGGATTTTTCTCCAGATATATGAGCATCTCCATGCAAAAAATATTAGCTTCTACATCTGTGCATAAACAAAAAGTAGCAAAATAGTAGTAAAAATACGAAATTGTTATTTGTAATATGATTCTCAGCATAATACCATGTTTACATTACGAATTTTAGCTTTTGAATTCTACTAAAATAAGTTCAAAATTTTAAGCGTTTACATTATCTTTTCGGGTTTTTTTGTTATCGTTTTATTTGCTTATGTTTTGAGTCTGTCTATATATCCTTCGTTATAAGTTTTGGTATACTGGTTTTTTTTGGTCCAAGCCATACCTAAGTAATTTTCGAGGTTTAATTTTAGGTACTAATTTTTTATGCTTGGTACACTTAATAATTTCTGCAGATTGAAAATTCGTATACATGAATTCTGTTTAATTGTGTGTGTGTAGAAAAGTAAAGGAAAAATTTTGATAAGTAATTTAACATCTTACTTTTTTTGTTCATTGTTCAGTTGTGGCATTAAAAATAAAAAGCTTGTGCAAATGTAAAATAGAAAATATTAAAAAATGTCAGGAGAAAAAATATTGTGCTTAAATTTGCTTCATCATCTTTCGAAGTAAATGCAGTAAACTGTGCGAAAACTGTTATAAAAACTGATTCTAATCTGCAATTTTACTCTAGTGTGGCATTATAAATACATATCGTCGAAAATTAAAACGGTGTGTTGATTTTGTAACAAAGTCTTGTCCATAAAACACTATTTCAGCGTTATATTTAAGAAAAGGTATTAAATAAAGCTTACATTCAATGAAAATTGAATTTTAGTTGTGTCTACTTTCATATAAGAAAACAAGTTTTGGTAATTGGTTTTGAGCTAAAAGCTACTCTTCCCATCTAAGTTTGTCATATAAAGATGGTATAACAGTTTTTTAGAATCCCCAATTCGGTGGCAGGCTTTATTCCTCTTTTCTGAGTAACTTCTTCAACTATATGTTGATTTAGCTTTATTATTGTAATATCAAGCTAAGAAGCTGCAGACTATGCTTTTCCAAAATTGTTTGATGTTTATCAACTGTTCATAAGGTCGTTATTTTAAAAAAATCTGATTTTAGTTTATTTAAAACAAATACTATAAATGTTTAATTATGTCAAATATTTTTAATCTACCGGAACGATAAATATCGAAACAATCATCAATTTATATTTAATTCTTTATTAGAGATTATATTATGTCAAGAGCATATTAAGCTGTCTGAGAAGACCACTGCAAAATGTCTTTAAACCTAAGCTGTATATCGTTTAGGAAATTGTTCAAAACACCTATCTTTACTAAATGCGTTGTCAAATGGAGTAAATATAAGCACTCTGACATTTCTGTAACTAAAGCCCCGTAAAATTGTTAGTTCTTCCTGAATTAGAACGATCCCTGTTTATTTTTTTATAATTTTAGACCGATAAAATTTTTATTTCAAGCCTATATACCTACGCCGGTATATAGGCTCAATATTTACAAAAAGCACTGCAGTCTATGATTACTTATTAACATTACTGGGTAAGGAAAATCCCAAATATGAATGCGTCATCGTAGAAACAAAATATTATAAGCAGTACATTTTTTATCTCTATTTGTCTAATGTAAAACGTTTTTAAATCACGATTTTTTTGCACCATAGTTCGTTGATTTACAACATTATAATTATAAGCTATAAAACTATTATTTTTTATTTTTTTTTTGGTTATAATGAATTCACTTTTTTTATATTGCTTGGGGTTTATATGATAAGCCTTGTCAACAAATATTAATTTTTTTACGTTAACTTCGTTTTATTGTGTTCAACAAATAATTGCTTTTTTATATATTATATAAATTTTATTTTTGTTTAATATTTTAATTTATTAAAATGAAATTAATGTATATTTGTTATACTTTTTTTGTTGTTGAATTAGAGTGATATAATTTCAATAAACGGGGGTTCCAACAATTTATTTTTGATTTCATTACAGTTTTTTTCATGATGTACTCATTATTAAATGGATAACATGGTTCTCTTTCATAGAACAATAGCTAAATAATATTCACATTATAATTTTTTAATTCTATTCATTTTAAAATATAATATATATAATAAAACCGATTAGATTCAGTTGAATAGTTATTTAATTAAACTCATTTTTTACCTATTTACAATTGTTTTATTTCTATTCGATCTAATTTACTTAATAAGAATTGTTAGTAAGCATCAAATATCAATTTTTGCTTTATTAAAACAATTTTAAAAATATAATTAACTTTAATTTAAAAACACTTGACAAAAGTGAAACTGTTTTGTTTTGTTTATTTTTTATTAATTTTTCTTTTTTTTTATTTTTTTTTATATTTTGCGCTGATAAGAGTGTTTCTTGTATAATTAGTTTTATCTTACTTCAATTTTTTTTATTTTTTGCTAACTTTTTAGAATAAATGTTTTCTGGAGAACCGAGCATACGAGCGCTACGAAGAGCTCTCACTGAAATCTTGTAGAAAACTGAAATGAAATATGAGAAATTGTTAACATTTCATTTAAAAAAATTAACTTTTTGTTTATTTTATTTTTTTTCACATTAATTGTGTGAGACGCTTATCAAAATCGTGCTGATTTCGTGCGCATTGTTGGATTTTTTTAAATTGTTTAAATATTTTACTGCTCTGGTATTCAAATTTTGAGTTGTTTTTTGTTGATGTTGCATTAAAACAGAGCAGTAAAAATTTATGTTTTAAGTTAAGTTTTGTTTATATTTTTATAATAAAATTAATTTTATACTAGTTTAAAATTTAAATAAAAACTCAAATTATGTTAAGACTTTAACATTGAAAATAGATTTAAATGTAAATGCCACAAAATCAATGTCAAATTGGTTGAGGTAGAAAACATTTAATATATAGTAGTATATATATAAATTTTTTAAATAACTTTTTTTATGATTTTTAATCCAATTCACAAAAAATTACTTTCAAAAGAATTTATGTAGATGACAGTAACAATATTATGGATTTACAACACATAAAAGCATTGCATGCATGTGTTAATATTTTTCCATCTATTAACTGGAATATATATAATTCTGGCTAGATTTTAATTTTGTTGTTTAGAAAAAATTGTCAACATAATTTATTAAACTTATTAAGTCACATATTGTAATTGTCACACTCCATATGAATGCCACACTGTAGTAAATAAAATTCATATCAATTACAATGCAAATATTAATAAGTAAACTCTTTACATGGAAATGGATCAAATTGATTAAGTTGCATATATAAGTTAAATAATTAATAAATACCAGAGGCACTTCATATTCACGTTATAGTGCTTACGGCGGATCTAATTTCGATGCTCAAGTTTGAATTATAAGGAAGACCAAACAAAAAGCAAAAATTGAAGTCTAGAAAGTGAAATGATAGTGAATACATACTTTAAGAACCATCATTATAGAAACCTTTAACAGCTATGAAAAACACAAAGAAAAAATAATTTACACAAACTTTAGTAGTATGCTCTATGTGGAATGATAGTTCCATTAAGTGTATAATAGAATAATATTAAAAAGTATAGCACTGAGTAAATAAAAT